GGGGAAAATCTTTTTAGTAGGGCCAGCTGTGACAAGACAAGGGGTAATGGTTTTAAACTAAACCAGGGTAGGTTTAGACTAGATATAAGGAAGAAGTTCTTTACAATGAGGGTGGTGAAACACTGGAACAGGTTGCCCAGAGAGGTAGTGGAGGCCCCATCCCTGGAAGCATTCAAGGCCAGGTTGGATGGGGCTCTGAGCAGCCTGATCTAGTTAGGGGTGTCCCTGCTCCTGCGGGGGGGTTGGACTAGATGACCTCTAGGGGTACCTTCCAACCCAAAACATTCTATGATTCTATGATTCACTTTTGACACCAGCAGGTTGTCAGGGTGTTATTTTGATAATCTCAGGCTGAGTAACAATGAGTTGCTCAAAATCTGAATTCATGGAAGTGTTGATTCAAGTCTCGAGCAGAAATCTTGGCTCATAAACAAATTGCCTATTTCCTTTGAGTGTCTTTTAGTGTGGATGCAAGAGGCTTGCTGAGCCCACCCCGTTGTTGGACCTCAGTGTCCTACTCCCACCTCTGGGGAGAGCAGCTGATGGAACTCTCAGTTAACTTACAATCCCTCCCCATCGGTCCAGCAGTGGGAGAAGGGGTGACCCTGGGAGCCAGTGGTGGCTGTGACCAGCCTGAACCAAGCCCAAGTGGGCAGCCAAAGCAGGACACCAGCAGAATGGGTTGTTTGAAGGGAGCAGAACTGCCCACATGACTTTGTGAAAATAAAGGGTTATCCTGAACCAGAGTTTGTTCCCTTTTCCCGTTGGTTGACTGATCGATTTTCCCCTCCTGATCCTTGAAAAGCTGCTACAGCGAGTCCATTGATGAGAGCCACCCTGGCTAGCCCACTCTGAACCTGGCTGGTGAGTCAGGCTTGGCTGCAACAGGTGTTTCTGATTTTAAAGGGAACAGGGAGTTTTATCATCCCAGTATGTGTGTGCTCCCTCTCACCGCTCGGCTTCCTAGGATTGAATCTGAGGCTGGAAACTCGCATTTCGTTTCTGGAAGCACTTTATTAGCCAAAGAGGCAAAACAAAACAAAACAACGGGCTCTCACAAGCAGGAGGTTAGATCTTCCCATGTCCAAAGTGATTCCACCATGCAGAGGAGCCAGCTGCTAAGCAGCGTGGCCGGCCATAGTTACAGGGTCCATCTGTTTTATAACCCTGGGATGAGGATGTGTAGGAAACCCCGCAGCCCTGGTGTTGCCTTCTCTTACTCTGGTTTCCCCTTGCTGCCTATGGCTTTGGTGTGCCGGGACGCATGGCTGCCTTTGGGGAGAGCCGATAGCGTGGAGGGAGGGCTGTCGAGCGGTGCTGGAGCACTGTCTCCAGCCATGTACGGTAGAGCTGGAGATTTTGCATGTAGGACTTGGAAATAGGGAGAAAGAAATCCTTTGTCTGTAATTTGATTTGAAATGCAGACCCACAGCTGCAAGCATTGTGGATATCAGCCTTTCACTCAAAGTGCCCTTTCCAGTATCTCTTGGGCCCTGCTAGGCTTGGGGGGAGAAATTAAGGCTTTTATTGAAGTGCCCTTTCCAGTATCTCTTGGGCTAGGCTTGGGGGGAGAAATTAAGGCTTTTATTAATCTGACTGATAGAGGGAGATGAAAACCAGACAAGCTCTCACCACCCAAGCCTTTCTTCAGCCCTGGTTTCTATGATACATTCATTAGAAAGGCTTTTCTGGGGGGGCATAGGTCCTTTTCTTCATTGTGAAAGTTTTTTCCCCTAGCCCTGCTGGGTCTCTCCAACTGCATTTCTAGATTCAGCTACATTTATGCACCCCCATGTTCCAGCTTTATGATCCCTGTATACGCCCAGGTGACTTTATTTCCACCTGCAGTAAAATCAAACTGAACGATGTGATCTCCAACACAGGCACATCCTTAGCAATTTGCTAAGGAAACCACTTCATGCTGGAGGCGATATCCCTCGGCAGGGTTTCAGCTAGCTGGATTCCTGTGTGCCGTGGCACTCCACAGGGCAGCTGGCAGACACCGCCGTCTCTTGGCAGGCAGTCACGGGAAGGGCAAAGCATTTAAAAGATGCCGGGCAACCTCTGGATTATTTGAGGCAATGCTATGCAACCCTGATATTTTGCAAATCTGGGCATTAAAGACGTACTTAGGGAAATCTCCTCTCATCCTGTGTCTCCTTCAGAAAGAGATGGAGATAATCCTATTTCAAGAGTTCCTTCTGGGCAGCCCCTGGGATAACTCCTGAAGCATCTCTGAGTGTGACACAATTGTCACATCTTTGTATGTTAAATGCTGGCCTTGCAACTACTAAGAATCCTTTCAGCCTGTTACTGTATAATGTTAAGGAAAAAGGAAACGTGTATTTATCACTTAAACTTCTGTGCTTTGTGGCAGTTGGTTTATTCTCTGTGTGGAGTGTGAAGAGGAATCGTGAAGTTAAAGCAGAGGAAGGCAGTTAGCCAAGACTGTCGTGATGTTGAAAACAGGTTTCTTCTTTTAATTCAGTGAGGCAGATAAAATTGAAATACCTTCAACGCAAGGTCACATTGTCTTATGTTATGTATGTATATGCTGAGCCCAGGAAAAGATTGATTGAATTCTTGCTCTCCTGTGAGGCTTCTTCCTCCGTGGCTTGGGTTAAGTTACTTTGCCTAAAGTTTCTCTCCTGTAAAACAAGGGTAATGCGGGTTGATGCTTCCCTGTTTAACAGTAGGTTTGTTACAGCTAATTGCTTGGTGAATGTTTAGTGCTGTAATTATGATCTGAGTTAAAGCTTTGCTTGTGTTTCACATCATTGAAAGCCCTTCCATAGAATTATAGCCTCTTGAATCGGATATTAATCCTGCTCAAGTACACTTAAAACAAGCATCCTGTTGTTCCATTCAGGCTATTCTTCGTGAATGTGCTTTCATGTTTCACATAGGCATTTTTCTAGCAGACTGTTATTGCTTCAGGAGATGTGAAGGGCAAGAGGATGCGCTAAGGCACAAAAATATTCAGTAAGTACAGACCATTATTGGAGAATCAATCACGGAGCGGGGGGAGAGAGAGGAAAGCTAGTAACTGGCCGAATAACTTGGGTGAAAAAGGGCATGGGAGCTTTTATTAAATTATTAGCACTTTGTTCACTGCAACCTGAACTTCAGGGTCTCACAGTGGTCATGGGTGATCTTAGGCAGGCAGGGATTTCCGATAGTCTATAAAGCAATTTTCTCTCCTTTCTGGTATGGGTTGGCACCGCTTATGCTAAATTTATAACATTGTGGTGTGGGTCCTTCCAGGCAGCATGGCAGAGCTCACGTACTGGATCTGTGAGTTATGAATGTACCAGTATTGTTAATGTACTGTTCACAACTGGAATAACAGAGTTGACGGCCTTTTGTGTTGCGGGAAACAGCTTATCGTAATCCATTCCCTTGTGACCTTCCAGCCGAACCAGTCTTGCTGATTCATGTTGCAAGTGACTCCTTGACAGTAAGACCATACAGTTAACCTTTTGGCATTAATAGGCACTGCAATTAGAATGGATTTATAGCCATCGCCTGGTGCCAAACCACAAATGTGATTAAATATTTTAAGAGTCTTTCCTTCAAAGCAAAAGGTAAATACAAAGTGTGCGTGCTTGAGGAGAAAATCGATGTCTGAGACTAGCTTTTTTTCTTACTGTTTTGAAGAACAATTGTTCCCCTGGCATCCCGGTAGAAAAAGTTATCTCCGAAATCACCACATCAGTGTCACAGAGTGTGGACTGGGGTTTGCATGCCAGTTGGCTTGCTCCTGGTCCTATATTTACAGGGCGGTACACAGAGCAATCAAAATAGAAACTTAATTAAATAGCTAAAATACTTTATGGCAACCAGTAGAGCATTTCTCTCTGGGAATGCACCAGCCCACATTGCCACTCAAAATAAATGAGAGGAGTAACGTGGTTCTTCTTTGAGGGCAGTTACTGCTTCTTCGCAAAGCTGAATAATGAGAAGGGAAATAAGAATGTGAAACTCTAATAATGAGGTTTGCTTCATTAAACAGCTCCTAAATATTATCTTTACTGCAGACTTCACCTGGGAAATAACTCAGGGATGGTAGAAACACTTGGACCTGCTCAGGTTTGCTTTAGAGTGAATATGCTCCAAAACTTTTGCTTTGTTGCTGTAGTCAGGTGAGTAATTCATGGCTTGGTAATTCAGTGTTCAGCAGCAGAAATATTGATTAGTTGTAAGGAATTATGACACAGGTTAAAAAATCCCTGCCAGAAATTTCTCTTGGCTAACATTTTGTTCAAACAGAGTATAGTAAAATAATAATTGTTCTCCCTCTGTTTGCAAACACCATGTTCAACAGTCATAAAACAGGTGCTGTTGTTTAGCTCGCCAACATCTACACGTTCCTGTCTGTCCTACAAAGCATGGCTCAGTTTTTATTATTAAAGCCATGCATTGCTCCTGTGATGCTTGGAAGAAGTTTCATTTATGCTTTGCAGGGAGCAGACTTGCATTACTTGCCTGGTTACAGAATCTTCAGTGGCAAAGCAAGAGACGCAGTTCCCAAATCAAAGCTCTTCAGCTCCTGACTGCCAGAACCACGTTTCTTCAACATCAAGTTTCCTGATGTGCTGAGCCTTCCTCATTCTTCCCAGTGTCAAAATGGCAGTAGGAAAGAAGTGGAATACAGAACAAATATGACCTTAAAAGCTGCAGAGTGAAGTGTTTGTATAACTGAGCGTGCAGGATGCGCCATGGTGCTTGATCCATACCTCAGAGGGGAGTGCCGGGGATGATTTCCCAGTGGGAGACTGACAGCTCCCTCTGGTCTCATTGAGGGACAGGGCTGATGTGAGTGTTGGTGTCTGACCTCCTCTCCTTTCAGAGGATTTGGTTTTCTTACTCATTCTGTGCCGGCATGCTGTTTGCCATGGAACATAGCTCTGGCATGGGTGATGCGTCCCAGAGACATAGCCAGTCCTGCCACAATGAACGTGATCCTGAAGGTTTAATGCATTTTATTCTTATGTGCGTTGTTGAGCTTCTCTTTTACCCGCTGGTCAGGGAAGCTTGGCCACAGACAGGTCTGTACTAAAAACCCATATCTCACTGAGGTACTCTCCTTTTCTCTTCCAGGTGATCCCGATGCTTCCCAAGCTGCTCTGTGAGGAGTTATGCAGTCTCAATCCCATGCGAGATAGGCTGACGTTCTCTGTGATGTGGAAAGTGACTCCAGAAGGCAAGGTACCTCAAGCAGTAGGCAGTCATCCTGCTAATCAGTCCTTCCTCGGTGCCCAGACCCTACTCTTGCAAAAAGAGTGGTAAAAATGCCATCCCTTAACACCCAGACGGATAGCGCAGTACTTGGTGAACAATACTGGAGGTTGTAGGACTGTCTCTGTATCTTGTTTTACCAGTAAGATACTGTGGAACTTCCAACTGGAATAATCTCACAAAATGGTGCGAAAAGGAAGGATATTGCTATGAATCTCAGAAATGGAGGATTTTCTGCTCCTTGCCAGGTCACCCATCCATTTAATGCCTTGCCTCTGGCAGCAGATCACAGCTAATGCTTTGGGTGGGACAAGATGTTCCCCCCTTACTCCAGGCCTGCCTTGTGCTCATAGACAGTTGTGCAATGCAGAGGATGAGGGCAGGATCCCTCTGTGGCCTCTCTGGTAAACAGACTTTCATTCTTCAGAGCTGCAGATGACATCGATCCAAATAAAGCACAATAGCTCTTCGGCAAAGGAATGGCTCTATCCTCTGCATGTGTTATTGCCAGGGAGCAGTTGTGGAGGCTATCAGTGCAGCGAGCTGCCTTCACCTGCCTGCCAGCTCTCCTGAGGTCTTCATTTCACTCCCTGTTCCTCTCCCACACACTTTGTAACACTAACAATCTCCTTTTTGGTGATCATAGGGTCCCCTCACTAATTGAGGAGGGCTAAAGACTGCCACTGCCAGAGGACTCTTCAGTCCATGTGAAGTACACTTTTTGTACTCAGAATTATTTTTTTTTTAACCTGTGTTGTGCTCATGCACAACTCTGTGGAGAGTATTTCTTGTGCCAATTTGGTAATTTTTCACAAGGATTAACTTTATTTCCTTTTTATTGTCCATGCTGCTCTAAAGGATACTGAATCTTATTTTGTGCTTTAGCAAAATATAGTTGCAGCCCTGTATCTGTATTTCTTCAGCAAGTCCCTGCTCTGGCACTGAGATAGGTTTTATTTGTTTGCTCTGAAAAGCGTTCCACTTCCTATAGCAACAGCATGATTACTTATGGGACCTCCTAATAGTAGCTACTTGGTGGGCCTTTTATTGACTCTGAGTGGTCTTTGAACAGCTAATAGTCAAGTCTTAATTAAAATAAGCTTTTAATTAAATCTTGTCTCTTGTCCCCTGCAATATATACGTTACTTGCTTTTCAAACAGTGTTCAGACCAACCCTGTCTGGCCAGTGAGAAAATAGAAGAGCTGCGGCATCTGCCTTGTGCTTGCTCGGGGAGCTGATCTCTGTGGGAGCAGTGATCTGGGCCATGACCACGCTGCCCCTTGGAAAGCAGATGGCCTACGGCCATCTCACCAAACTGGTTTCTCCCAGGAGTCCGTTCAGGACTACAGTCTTAATCGAGGTCACTTGATTTGAATATCAGGTGAAGGCTGGAGAAGAATTTACTCCTTCCAAGAGGAAAAGTGGTTGTAGGGCTTTTGCCCAGCAGGGCATTCTTGTAAGAGCTTATCTGTGAGTTGGGATGGAATGTGTCTCCTGGATTTCGAGGTAGGTGTTACTATGGGCTCATCTCAGTCTAAACAGGATCACATGCTCTCCCAGGCTTTGCTGGGTGAAAGGGAGGTGAGTCAAAGGCCCCCAACATGGCCTTTGAACCTCAGCCGGTGGTGGAGAGCCATGAGAATGCTGACATTGAGAACAGGACATTCCTCAGCGAGGGACATCTGAGGCTGAAGAGCACTTCATTGCACCCTGTATGCACAGTAGAATTGTGACCTTGAGCTTGCAAAGTGGAGCCCAACAGCACTACTAGAGGTGAGAGCTGCTCTGAGCTCCCCCTGTTACTGCTCCAAAGCAAACAAGTCTGGAGCTAATGCATCTCCCAAGGAAAAGCCACGCAGATTCCTCACTTGAATGAGACTATTGATAAGTTGTTGGGGTTTTTAATTCTTGTTTCTTTTAGAAAAAATGGTGCCAGGGTCAGCCCTTTCTGGGAGACAGGCACTTTCTTGTTTCTGTTGCTTTTGGGTTCTGGAGTTTTTTATCTTTTAGTTTTCCATCAGTGTAACATAATGTTGCCTGAGCAGCACTCCACATGGCTCCATGGACTCCAGTGGGATAGTGTGACATGATGTATCTGAGATGACTTTCCAAGGGCAGAGGCGTTCACCATATTGTTGCATCTGTGCTGTTCTTCAGAACGAGAGCTGGGCGTTTATAGGAACAATGTGGCACGTTCTTGTTCAGATGCAGTCAACAGAAAGATATTTGAAAACAAACGATGCAACTCTCCTTTTTAAGTTATTGCCTGCTGATGTTTGAAGCACAGCTCTGCTGGTTCCTTCTACCAGTGAGGAAAAGAAATTGCTTCAGTCTGAAACAACCTATACAAACAATGTGTCTTCCAGGCTCAAAACTGTTGTCATCAGCCAGGATGTGATATGGACACTACCTTGTGTGGAGAAAGTCCTCATCCTCCTGCACAGCCATGTCACACCCTCAAAGCGTCCTGCAGCACCAGGGACTGTGCTAATGGGAGGGTTTCAGCTGAGCCATGCTGACTACCATCACTTGATGTGCTGGGGACCACAGCTTTTTCTCAAAAGCAGCCAGAGCTGGGGGAAGCCTTAACATAACCCTAGAAATGTCTCAGATACTCTGTCTGGTGTCTGACTGCACCAGGTTTGCTGTGATGGGGGAGACCTTGCAGACCAGTCTTGTGGGCTCATTGTAATCTCCAAGTCCAAGCTCACAACCCCCAAATGTTGCTCCTCCGCACTGCTTTGCCCATGCATCAGCCACTGCTACGTGGACCAGCCAGCCTTGTGTGGCTTTCCCTGTAGAGGTGGAGCTTGCCCATTCCTCTGGTGGCGTTTCCAAACCAGGGACGCAAGGCTGTGGTTACCTAAAGTCTGCTTGGATGGCCGCTGAAGGCAGAGACAGAGGGCATTTCCAGGAAATACTTGGACAGGGGGTAGAGTTAAGTTAGCAAGGCTGAGTCTGGCAGCTCCGCTCACTACACGCAGGGATTACTGGACTGCACGTGGCAAGATGCATCCAAACTCCATTCCTTGTCTACGTGACGTGTGTTTAATGCATCCAGGCAATCTTGGTGAGAAGGTTTTTATTGGGTATGTTAATAAGAGATCTCGCAGGGTTGCTCTGTCCAGTTTACATCTGTTAGAGCCATTGCAGGAGTGGAAATTGGGTGCTCTGCATCATGCTGCTTGGTTGCCTTTCAGAGACCAAGAACAGAAAAAGGAATTGAGGAAACAGAAATAAAAGAAGTTTAATGTCTGCTAGTAATGGGCTGCTTGTCCTGACACTTTGCCGTGAATGTAGCCTGCCTGAGATTTGATGTTCTAGTTATATTCTGGGGGTCCAATACGCTGCATCTCTCGTCTTATAAGGAAGTGAGTGGAGCTCTGAAATATTTGGCCTCTTTTAAGCAAGCAGAAAAATGAGATTTTGTTGAAAGCTTCAAGTTCAGACAGCAAAGTGGAAATCCGGTCTGTTGCCTCCTGCAAGGGACAGAGAGAGCTCTTGGAAGCTGGGGGCAGAAAGCACCGTGTAGGCTCAGAGCTGGCTTTCAGCAGCAACCTGGGGGCTGGGAAAAGTGCTTCAGAATTACCCTTCTGGTTTGTGCCCAGTCCTTAACCCTTTTCAACATGCATGTACATGATGGAATTGACTCACCTACTTTATAGAGCAAAATGAGAGTGCTTTCCAAATACAAAATATCTAGTGTGGGATAATATAACAGCGAGGGCCAGAATTGATAATGACCTTTGATGCAGAAATTAATAGCTGGAGATGAAGGAACTACAGAGAAATAGAAGTAGTGTCTGAAAACGTTTGAAGAGCAAGTTGAAAGAGCTGCATATTACAACTGGAGAGTCTGTGGACATGCTCAGCCGAAATGAAGGCTGCTCGGCCTTGCTGCCGGACCATCTCAACAAGCAACACCACCTTCTTGGTGCCTGAGTATCATCCATGTCTTACTGAAGTCTGAAGTATCTCTATCGCCAACCGGCTAATAGTCTTCAACTTTCTGGAAGTGGATCATTTAAAGAACAGTGCAGCCTCTTCCACACCAGAGATAGTGCTTTCTTAATATCAGGAGGGTTTCTGGGTCCAGCAGATGTTGTTGATGTTGTTGACCTACCAGATATGGATCCCCCGTCACCACAAGAAGCTGAACCACGTGTAACGGGATGCAGTGGATTGCAGAGCAAGTGCTGCCAGCACTGTCACAGCATCTCTCTCCAGCTTTGTGACCTTCTCTTCCTTTCATTCTCTTTGGCATAGAGAAAGTGGCACACACAGGTTAACCATGAGCCAAGGGTGAGAGCACTTTACATTGCCAGACATCACTTGCTGCATCTCTGCTATTTAGGACACTTTCTAATTAGAAATGAGTTTAAATGCACTGTGACTTTCAGAGCTCTGAGCTGCCGAGTTATATTGCACGTATGTTCTGTGGGGCATAAGGGACGAAGGCAGCAAAGGCATCTTGGGGATCAATCCGTTCCTGTTAAAAAGAGTGTTTGCCTTTCTGAAGCAATGTCCTTGATGAGTCTGTCACAGAGCGAGCTGGCTGTTGTCCCTGGACGCCGTCACTTGCAGAATTTACCTTGTCCTGTTGTGCTGACGAAAGGGTGAGGTGGCACTTGTAGCTAAGGCAGAATTACAATTCTCCATTCATTCTCTGAGCCCTTGTGCTTTGAATGTTTTATCATAGACCACATCCATCTCCAGAGCCCTCGTGCTGATGCTCTTGACTTTTCTGAAGAGCCTTCTGGCCTTTGTCCCCCTGTGCTTTCTCACTGGCTTGATGAGCTTTTGGACTCTCTTATATATTTTGGCTGAAAATAGGTTTTCCTTTCTGCTTTAAGAAATAATTCTGAATTGCTACTTCTACATTGGTATTCTGTTACAGAGTTTAAAATGGGAGTGGCTTCTCATTTAAAATAAAATAATTTTATAGGTGACTTATAGATTATTTTCCTCTAGATTCCAGCATAGTTTGGAAGCTCGGAAAGGTTCCTGCCTTGAGTTTGGACTTAGGACCATAGGCACGATCAGAGAAACAAGGGGTCAGTGACCGGCTATTTCTCCTCCAGACCCACCAAGGTCCTACTCAGGCACTTTCAGAAGTGCTGGTCAGACATTCTGAAAACGGAGTATTTTAGGGCCAGCCCCTGGTGCCCCACTGGCCACATATTAATTGAAGAGGTGAATGCAATCTGCCGTGTTTTAGGTAGGAGATCCTCCTTTGCTCATGTGTATCTGCTTGTTGCCACCCCTGTACCCAGTAACCTTTGAGTCAACTGACTGATTTTACCTCCCAGCTGGGCTGTAGCTCTTATGAGCTCTATGAAAGAAGGAAATCAGGTAGAGGAGAGAGGTCCATGTGATGGAAATACTTTATTATGCACATACACGTTATTAGATGTTAGAGAATCAATATGGGCAAAAGGCCTTCTGGTGGCCTCAGTATGAGAAGATCTTCATTTGAAGCTCAGTCAGTGATGAGATCTGCTGTCATTTCTTCCAGTGTTTGTACAACTTCCCGAGCTTTTGTGCACTGGAAGAATCAGTCCTCAGATCTATTTATGCTTTCTAATTTTGCAGATCCTTGATGAATGGTTTGGGCGGACAGTCATCTGCTCCTGTGTGAAGCTGAGCTACGACCATGCACAGAGTATGATTGAAAGCCCTGGGAAGGTGTTCTCACCTGAAGAACTTCCCCCTGTCTCCCCTCAACACTCAATAGCTGAGATCCAGCAAGCTGTGCTGAACCTGCATCGAATCGCTCAGCACCTCCGCAAACAGCGTTTCATCGATGGTGCTCTGCGCTTAGACCAGGTGAGTAAATCCAGCCCCTGTAAGGGGGTCCCACTCCAGTGAAGCAGTTTCATGTTGTATTCCCTAAGGATTTCTTGATCAGTCTAAAACCCAAAGGGGAAAGTCAGGCTGGAATAGAAGGGCAGATTTGTGTGCCAATATAATCTTAAAAGCAGCATCAAGTTATGTATGAAAAGCATGAAGTAAAGTAGGATCAAAAGAGAAAAGTTCCTGGTTTTTAAGGAGTGATCCATTTTCCAACATTTGTCAAAATTGTAAAACCCTGGTGGATTAGGTAAGTAACTTACACAGTGAAACAAATCATGATGGTGTCGTTCATTACCAAGCAATTCAGATATCTTTAGTGCACATTTCACTATGAAAGGCTCGTCCTCCACATTTATTTCTGTGCTTGCGATACTCACGTTTTCCACAGCTTTTATAGCAGTTCTCTGGACAGGGAAAATGACTAAATGTTATCTCAGCTAATAGTTATAAGTGTTGGGTGTGTTTCAGAGAAAGAAATGCTAGTGAGAAGGTTTTCTGTCTGGGGTGATTTAAATAATCTTGTATCCGTTGTGGTATGTGTGATATCTGTTTTACAAGTAGATCCATGTATCTTAGACTATCACAGCAAAAATACTTTTGCATTTGAGGTTCAGCTGCTCTGAGGTGGCTTCTGACAGTTTTTGTGGGTAGGAGGTTCCAGTAACTGATAGAATCCGGTGGCCTTCCTGAGCATGAGACAAAATAATCTCTTAATATAAGGAAGCTCCATTGTTTCATTTTGCAAAATGAGCATGAGTCAACCTAGGGATATTGCTGAGAAAGAAGCTAGTGTACTGAGATGTGTAAATAGGACTATTGTATGTAAGAGGTATGTTGTAACCCTTCCATTTTACTCAGCGTTGTGGTGGTGTCTCCAGTTGCAGGAAAGTCTTAATTTTAGAGAAATCATTGTGGAGTCTGTAATCTGCAACCTTCCCCATCAGAGCACACGGCTTAGCCTGGAAAAACTGGGAAGAGGAGGCAATGTTCTGTTCCCCGTGTCTAAGATGGACAGATGAGACATCTGTATCTTGAATTTCAGTAGAGGAGATTGGGGTTACACTTCAGCATAAAATTTCTGGTGTAGGAACCATGGTGTCTAAGGCTCTCTTGCCTACATCTGTTGTAGGGGGACTTAAAGGACTGGTTTAGGTGCACATAAGTGAGCCTGGAGCAAGGGCGTTTCCTCAATGTCCTTCCTTGCTCAAAGGCAATAATAATTCTTAAAATTGTATTCAAATAATTTTTGGAAATCAGACTCCCACTTTGAAGTCCTGCAGAGTTTGCTTAAACCTCTTTTGGAACAGAGGTTTCCCTCTGAGGTTCATTGTACAATGGCTAATGCTAGAGAAACATAAAACACCCCAACCTTTGCACTTGATGAGCCAGCTGGGAAGCCTTGGAGATGTCTGGGTTTGAACAACAGTCGACAGTGACTGGGAGCTGCATTACACAAGTCATACAGTGTAGTGCTGAGCGGTCATCACGTGTGCCTGAGTTGAGTACCTGTTATCAAACTAACCTCAGGGAAAGTGTGTTTTAAAACAGCGGTGACATTTTCAATGGGAGGGTTTGGCAAGGGAAGCATCCTGTTCCAGTGATACCCCATAGAAGATTAGCAGTGTTTTGTTTTGCTCTGTGCCATTATAGAGGAGCTGTTAAAGAGAACGTATTGGAGCATCATTTGTGAGATCAGGGTTAAAAGCCACTGCTAAGGGCACCAGAGAGGACTGGTTCCTACTCAGCCTAGTTCCTAACCATCATGATAAACTGAATTATATCTCACAAGTGGCACTTCATGCCATGCTGAATCTTTCTCCTCTGGCAAGAGTGTCAGAGCAAAAGTAATGGTCTTGGAGAAGGAAGTGTATTTTAGTTCAAGGGACACTTTCATCATGCTTACTCTTTTAAAGTACTGCCTTGGTAGTTGCGTTTTCATAAATACCCCCTCTCCAGCCCATGGAGAAAGTGGTTACTGTAAGGCCAGGGTATGAGCATTATGTGAGGGATGGGTGTGTGGACACGGCCAGTGGTGTATGGCCAGACAAAGCAATCTGTACCTTTTAATAGAAGGAGATGAGTCCCTCTGCCTTTGCTCCCCCACTTCCCTGCGTTCCCATGGGCGCAGTTGTGTGCTGGGTCCGACTTCCAGCACCGAGCAAGCAAGGGTGGGTCCAAATGGGGAACACACCTTTCTAATCACTGGACCTCTCACTGATTTCCTGTTGAGTAATGTAAAGGCTGAACAATGGAAGACAATCCAGCAGGAAACTAGGGGCAATGAATTATCAGATTCCAAATAAATATGTGAATGAAGGAAATGATCATCCCACAGTCTTAAGGGAGGGGATGGCTGGGCATGGATGACTTTTGTGCTTTTTTTTCCAAGGGATGTGAGCCCTCTTCCTATACATTGCATTGTGTTTGAGAGTTTCTACCTTAGGGTCATTCCTGATGGAACACTGATGACTTTTTTTTGCTTACTACCACCCTGGCAGTGTGACGTGCTCTGGTGCTTCCTGTTGGTATTAAGAAAATCATTGGGGGAAGAATCTCCCATCCTGTTTTGCCACTGGCTGTGGTGGCCTTGGGCTGGCCAGCTTCAGTTTACCCTTTGGAATGATATCAATCTCCCCCATAGCATCCATATAATTTGGGATTTATTCTCCAAAACTAAGAACGTCTCTCAAATTAAGCCATTCATGGGTGTATCTTTATAATGGCAGAAATATTGGTTGGCCAGGGTCTTGAAGAATTTGTGGATTCAGTGTCAGTACATGTGTCTCTTTGGGGCTGTGTAATTTTGAATTCCTGCCTCAGTTTGGTCCTGGCTGTGGCAACCTACGTACCTGCCACTCTTTTCCTCCAGTTCCTTTCATGCCTCTGCAGACATCTGTAGGGGAATCCTGCTGCCTTCGACCTTGGGTGAGGACCATCTTTGCAACCAGAGCCACGCATCTGTCACTCCGCGGGCTCTTGCTGTCCCCATAGGCCCCTTCTGGGGCTTTTTCCCTAAAATATGTTTCCCTGTGCTGCCTGCCAGCTTCCTAGCTCCAGAAGGCAGCTAAGCACTGAGTTTCAGAGGTTTAAAGTCTTTGCACCTTCAGCGGTTAAGGAGCTTACGAAACTTTGTCCACACAGACAGAGATTAATGTATTTCTTTTCCTTCTCATTTGGAGCTGCAGCTTTTAGATGTAAAGGCAAGAAGTGCCTTGTGCTGTGGCTTTGAGAAAAAGTGTTCAGATATTTACAATATTGTCTTCCCCACCCCCCCCACCCCCCGCCTCCTTCCTGCCCAGGACCATGAAATGCCACCCCTGTGCTGTCCTCTCGCAGCTCTTGGTGCACCCGCACTATAAATTGGAGCAGGGATCTGACCTGGTTTAAAAACCAAAGTGAGCACAACCCACAACTTTCCTTTTTTTTTTCCTGGCCAAGTTACTCTGAAGCTGGATCACTGCCCCAAACCACAGCTTTTAGAAACACTAGCCAGAGAATCACATAGAAACTTGCTTTCAACAAAAACCATCAAGTTTGCAGAAAAGCTCCTTAGCTCAAGCCTGCCTAGAGGAGACCTGCTGATAAATGGTTCTCTTTTTGGCCTCAGCAGTTTATAAATGAATCATGAGGACAGATGCCTACAAGAAGACAGGTTAAAAAGGATTTCTGTGCGTATTTAAAATGAGAATACACCAGGATGCTGATCTGTCTCTATGACAACTGTCTGTGAGCTGAGCAGTGGCTTTTGTTGTGCCAGTGACTCTGCCCTTGCCAGCGCACTTACACCTGGGTGCTTAAAATGTTGGCATTGACCAAAGTTCATTGTGAGAACAACCCAAAGTGCATTTGCCTTAGACGGGTTAATGGCATGGAATTGTTTGCTAGAATAGCTTCCCTCCTTGTTTTCTGTGCGACAGACATTCAGCTTTGCAGGTGTGTGCGAAGAGGGAAGGAAAAAAGGATTAAAATGGCAAAGATGAGGATGTTACGCAAATTTAAGGGTTGAATTGCTAGCGAAATCATCTCACTTCTGCTTGCTCTCAGCCTGTGTACTCTGCCTGCTGTCTCGTCGTCTGAGCAAGGGTTGCTTTAACCTTTGGGTCTCTATTGTTTTGAATAACTTAAAGATATTTAAAATTATATTGTTGTACCTCTGCACCATGCTGGTGACCTTACCTATGGTCCTGTCCAAGTGGCTGCTGGCGATAAGGAAATACAGGATCTTTGAGAATAGCTTTGTTTAATTAAGGTTGGTGGGACTCCTGGAGTAATAGAGTATTGCTGCTGCAGGAAAGATGGGGAAAACAAGCACACAGACTCCAAATACCAGAATGTGTGTAGAATACCAGCTCCAAAACACCCAGGTATATGGCATACTGGATATATATTAACCAGCTCTGTATAGTTTTTGAAGCACTCAGAATTGACTCTGTCTACTTGACGCAAACAGCTCTGAGAAAGTTGACTCAAGGCATCCACTCAGGGAAAACAAGGAGGAAGAAGGGCATTGTACGTGCAGGATGTGCCATTGTATGTTGGGAAATTTCGTATATAGTTGTGGTTAATGGGATAGGACAGAAACGCATATTTTTAGACAGTAGCTCCTGCTAATGCCGATTAATTTGAAATCTCAGGAGTCAGAGATTAATTACTATCACAATTAAAATTTTCCAATATGAATGATTGCTGGAAATAATTATGGGAAATTGTTCTGTCATATTTCCTGCCTCATATCTGTATAGGAAGCATTCAGGTCTTCTCCTCTTCTTGCTATGTGGGAGTAGTATATGCTTCTACCCTGGTTAAACAGTCATTGTTTGCAAAATACAATGTATTTGTATGCAAAATACAATATATTTGTATACGAATGGAAGGCACTTTGCGTTGGAAGAACTGTTTAGATGGGACAGCAAAGGGCTATAATGTTGTATAGACCTCAGCTAACTGCATGCGCCTATGTTTTCCCTAAGAAC